GGCTAACACGCCAAACATCCCCCCACCCAATGAAAAATACTTTTTTACGCCACTGATTAAGTGCATCTTATTTCTTATCAACTGTGCGCAATTTGAACCAAACTGGGTATATGTAGCGCACAGTGTAAAATTGAGACCCCCTAAGCTACCAGTTTTAGGAATTCATTTTGGTAGACTCTTTTTTCCAGACGATTTCGAAATTCTGACATGTTTCTGCCAACCATTTCAGGGTTGCCATTTGGCCTTTTTGACGGCCAGAGATTCCTCAAATCTGGCCGTATAAAAATTTGTTTGGCCGTAGCATTTGAAAAGTCACGGCCAAACTATATTTGGCCGAATTTGGTCGAATTTTTGAAAAGTTTACATTTTTTTTTCAATATAGGCCTAATTATAACGTATACTTGTTTTGGATATTTTGTTTTTGTTAGCTTAAATTCTATATTTGATTCTAATCTTTTACCTTGTACTTGCACTAACCACTCAATCTATGCTCCCTGGTTCAGCCGATTTGACGTATGAGAGTTTATTTAAAAGATGACATTTAATAATTTAAATTGTTCGGATGAAATATATTGTTTATGAAGTTTATCCTCGTTTAAGCTTTATGAAGACAATTCATTGCAAGTTTGTACCATATATTGTGTCTTTGTATATGTTCCATCTTATTAGTGGAGGTTCTATCTCTTTTGAATTTCTTTTGAATATAAATTAAATACTGTACTTTAATTAATTTATTATTGCCCACATGAGGTGCCGCAGTGTTCTTTATGTAGAGCGCCATATACAAATGCTCGATGTGATCATTCGGGTCCGATGGCACCTCCAATTTTAAGCAAGTTTTGCAGAGAGACTGGAGTTAGGTTGCATATCAGAATGAAGAAGATAATTCTGATAGCAACATTGATTTATTGCTTTAAGTACTGCGACAATGAAAAAGTTTAAAAAGTTATAAAAAGTATTTATTAAAGTTTTCATAGGTTTGTTTTAACGCCAGTTTGTGTTACCTAACTATGTAACATTCATTCTAATTAAAGATAGCCACGGATTTGCCAATAACAGGCCCTTAAAATTGTTGCTATAGATCGACTACAATGTAAATTAATATTTAATACATTTAAATCAAATTTAGATCAATCTTAATATTGTGGTTTTAAAGCAGAGGTGGGTTTAAGGGTGGTAAAAAAATAAAAAATAAATTAAAAAAATTGATCGCCCAAACGCATCAGGCTATTTTCGGGCGTCTAGAAAGGACAAATTTCTTCTAAGATGGTGTTATCTCGATCGGACCCACTTTCGTCCCCCCTCCTCCTCCCCTTTTTTCGGCTCCGGCCCTCACCCTTTCGGACATCTCTGGATTTGCCCCTGAATTGGCCTGCATGCCAGCAACTAAAGAACATAGGCTATTTATTTTTAACATTGTTTTGTGTATATCATTTGAATTTCAAACGAATGACCGCTGATTTTCGTATAATTTTTGTAGTATTTCAAATGAATGTACCCACTGTTGTCTAGTAATCGGATTAAAATCTGGCCGAATTTTGGCCGATATCGAAAAAAAGTTTGGCCGAATTTAGCCGTGAGATGGCGTGTGTTTGGCCGTGAAGCCTGTCGACTATCTGGCAACCCTGAACCATTTATTAACGAGGTGGCCGGCGAAGTAGCAGGACGTCGAGTGTGAGAATAAACGAGATTTTTACTTATAATAGAGGCTTAAAATAGCGTATTTTTACGGTAAATCGACAATATAAAGCCATTTATGCATGTCTATGAATATTTAATAGTAATTTATATAGTAGCTTTTGATTTTGGAGGGGGTGTGCAAAAGTTCATTAGCGCCGTAGGCTTGTATGTTAGCCAATGGAGCCTGATAAAATTATACGAGCATGTCGCCAAATTATTTTTCAAGTATTCCAGTTAAATCGGCAATTTGTTGCGAATAATAAGATTTTAAGGTTTTTTGATCATGAAAGGCGACGACTAGGCCTAGGCCTTAGTTTTAGGCTGAGCCTAGCCCGGAATCAACATACTCTAGGGCTAGTAGGGGGAAGCAAAGAACACTGTCACTACTCAGGCAAAGGCAAGGATCCTAGGCTAGATAGGCCAGGAGCTTGGGCTAGAATTCGGCTAGAGTATGATAGGCTTCAGACAGTAACGGATTGAAACTCACAAACAGTACAAATTTATTTGTTTATTTTCAAGGATTTATTAAATGTTATGCTGTTAAATTGTTGTCATTTATTTGAATAAATAAATGACAACTATCCCTGTAGATTGCAGCAGAACAGGTTCTCAGGGGCCAACCCAAACATCCTAGAGCTCATCTAGGACCAAATTGTTAAATTTTTTTATTAGTCCAGTTATGTTTTTTTTTTAAAAGCTCCAAGAAAAAAAAATATGCAGGTCTACCTCTAATTTAAGACCACTTCTCTGTGATGCCAAATTAAGTCTATTACCTATATTATTCAAATCAAATACCATGGGAACCCTAATCCCAATAATGGTCTTTAAATTTAATTTATTTACACAAAATATTTTGCTTTCATTGTTGAAGATAATAATATTTGATGTCTACTGGCATATATATTCTTTATTAATTCAATTTTAGTAATACTTCAATTTGCTTTTTTTTCAGGGCTATGTATAGTGCAGGCTGCTTTTGGAGTTTCACAGTTTTGCAGAGTTTCAGTTTCTGAAACGGTACAGTACCGTACTCGCGCGAATAAGCGCCCGGGCACTTAAAATTTTTTTGCACTTTCTGAGGGCCGCTTATTCAAACGGGGCGCTTATGAAAACAGAGTGGAAATTGAGGGGGTGCTTATGGAAATAGATGAAAATCGAGAGGTTCTTATGGGAAATTATTAAATTCAAGAGGCACTTTTTGAATGAAAAAAGATTATATAAGGATATTACGAAAGGTGGTTAGAAAAGATAATCGTCCAGAAAACATGGCTCATGACAAGAATGCGTGAATATTTACATAACATCAAAATAGCAGATGCAATTAGTGGTGGTGGGTGTTAGCTTGTTGGCCATCGGCCGATTGAGATTAGCAGGATGGCAGGATCATTGTATTTTTTCTTGAAAAACTCAGATGAGAACGTGCTAAAGGTCGGAAAAAGAAAAAGAGGAGTAGGACTAGGCATAGACAAATAAGTAAAGTTGGAAATATACTGTGTGTATCTCATTTGTCCAAGAGAAATATCCTCATTTTGATATTGACCGAAGAATAATGTTTCCACTCTACAGCTCAAATCATGACAACCACAATCCCAGGATTGATTGGATTATTGACTTGCTAAAAAGAAAATCTTATGAGGGGGCGTTCATTCAAACAAGGCGCTTAAGTAAATTTTCATGTTAGGAGGGGGTGGTTATTCGAGAGGGGCGCTTATTCGCGAGAGTACGGTTGAAATAAATATTTAAATGATTTTGTTCAATAATAAGTTTTTCCAACATTTCCCAATACTGTATTTAGAATTTAAAATCTGATCAGAATATTCACTGTATATTATGCCTAACATTTCATTTATTGATTTTGTTAGTTTCATGTAATCTTCTGTAATTTAATGATAAATTACAGAGGAATTTGAATATTGTTCATAAGAAAAGAATTCGCTCTTAATTCTCATTTATTGTTTTCCGTGATGTTCCCATTTTTTTAACATAATCTGTAATCTTTAAAATGTTGAAACCCCTTCATAACACACCCATATCTACTTTACTACAATAGGGATCATTAGCAATCTATGAGATGGGAACCAGTCAATTCGAGCGGATGCCACTTCAAGCGATTTTCAAATTTGGGCAGATGCTACTTCGAGCGGATGCCATTTCGAGCGTAAAAGGATCCAGTTTTGCGAATAATAACTTGTGCAAATTTCTTATTTTGACCGAACATTAATTCTGATAGTTTTTCGCCCTCTTCATGTTCAAATTTCTGTTTCCTTTTGATAAATAATTATTATTTGTTATAATAGCCTTTTTCTGCTGATAGATTTTTTATTCTTATGCATATTTGGCAACGGCTTATTCAGGGGATTCTGGGCATCCCCTAATGTTCAAATAAAAAACTTGTGCATAAAAATCACCTCATATCATCATATTTTGTGAGCTACCACACCCTCATTTAATCATTGAGCTTCACCCCTCCCCCATTTAAAGATTTCTATTGTAGATACAGTACACCACTGATATTTGTACAAAATATATTAAATGAATATTTGACGTAATATTTTGTATGTTACATTTATATGGGGAAAATTACCCATTTACAAATATACATTTATATTCATTTTACAAATACAGTTACAATATAAAATGCAGTTGAAACTTAATTACAGTTTAAATTACAATCATAATTATAATTTACTTCTTTTACTACAAAATCTTAGAAACTTTCGTAATTTAATAATTGATATAAGTGCTTGTTATGACTATGATTCAAACATGAAATAATTATTAAAAGTAGCAAAAACCTTTCAAAACCTTAGTTACACAGCGCATGTTAGTATTAAAACAATTTAAAAAAAATGTTTTGGATAAATTCGCCATTGTTATAGTTTGCACTAATGCATCCGCTCGAACTGGCATGTTATCACTCGAACTAGCTTGAAGTGGCATCCGCTGAAATTGACTGGTATTCTGTAAGATACTGTATAACTTGAGCACAATAGCAATAACATGTTATTGACATAGCCAATTTTCTACTAATTTTAAAAATATTCTTTACTATCACTTTAGAGAAGCAGTGGTAGGTAGGTTTTGATTTAGTGACATTCATATTGTGATATTTCAATTATTTTCAAGAATGGTACAAGAGGGTCAAGCATCCAGAACAAAAATGCTAGGGGAAACTCTGGTCAAAGTGTTAAGGCATTCGATGGTGCGTCTGGTGGCTGTGGAGGTGATAGAAAGAGATCTCTGTCAACCTATCGTAGGAGTATTCTAGTGTTCCACCTCCTCTTGCTGTTCATGGTGCTCTACTGGTATTTTATTGAGACCTATAAAGCGTAAGTTGTTAACTGGTTAAAATATTTGATTCCATACTTAATACTGTGTTGTATAATTTTCTTTAACTCACACCTTAGGAACGAGAAAATTTAATTTTTTCTCTTTTTTCTAAGCCGTGTATAGCCTGAAGCACTTGACAGATCCTAACTTTTGGGGCTTCAGAGGTGTTGAAGAGTGGGGCAATGAAAGTGCTTTCTTGCTGTTTTCTTTATTACATTTGCTATATACTGAGGTTTGGTGCAGTGTGAAAGGTTTGGTTTCCCAACCTCGAGGTCAGGGTTTCAATCCCTCGCTGTGCATTTCGCTTGTATCCTTGAGCAAGACACTTTATCTGCATTGCTTCTCTCCACCCAGGAGTATAAAAGGGGAGCTGGTGGGGTTGCTTGCTCCTGCGCTGAATACAGCAGCAACACTTAGCGTGCGGATCCAATGACCAGGGACAGATTATGTAAAACGCTGCTGATTATGATGTATGTTGTAGAAATGTGCCTTATATAAATGTTTAAATTAAAATTAATTTAATTAAAATACTGTATATATAGCTGGTTTGAGGAAGGATGCTGGCGCTGTAGTTTACATTCTGGTTATGGAATTTTTGGTCGGGAGCTCAAGCCACACGCTCACCACAGCCATGTTTGATACATAACTCAGCTTGCATTATTGACAGTGTGAATTGGTTCATTTAACATTTCAGCCCAAAAAGGGCTGTTCATATGAATATATTTAATGAAGTAACCACTTACTTAAATTTTTTTTTTAAACAATAAATAAAATCAATTATCATTCCAATCCCAGAACTCATGGTAAAGGCATTGAAAAAAAAAAACCCAACCGAAAAAGATGATAAACACACCTCTTCAAACAGCCATGAAGAAGAGTTTGCAGACTTTGCTGATGTTTGGTGAAGTTTTGACCTTTCCAGTTGAAAATAATTATTCCAGTTTGCAAAGCCAATTTTCTTTGTGTGCAGCAGGCTTTAAATTGTTGTACATGAGAAATAATGACTTTTGCAGGATTTGAACCCAGGATGTGCTCCCTAATAAATTTGATTATAATTTTGTTTAAAAGATTGTATATTCCATTTTTAACAGATTGTTGGAAGTCCATGTCATGATGTCATATAACAGTCATAATATTTCGCTTGAAACAATTAGCAGTAGGATGAGAGAGGCCGAAGCCAGTGCAGCAGTATGTTGGAGATTCATCCAACACCTGTGTCGACTGGTAAGAAAACAATATTGTTAATTTATGTTCTCTCGTGTTCCATTTATGTTCTCAATAGAGAGCAGCATTCAGCTTTGTTGGAACAACCTGCTAAATATTCAATGTCACAGTACATGTACTAAATGCATGTACTGTACAGTATTACTGTAGGTCACTATAATCTATATTTTTTATGTAAAAAAGATACGTATATATTCAAATAAATGGCCCTTACTTTCACTGTAAATGTGCAGCTGCTACACATAATTACCGTCAAAATATGTTAGTGCGTTGTTTCCTCCATTAGATTAGTTTGCAGTCATTTTGGGGGGGCATTTATTCAAAGGAAATATTCCAAATGAGGGCATAGAGTATTATGGTACACCATAATACTGTAGAGCACTTTGTGTTTATCTCATGTGTGACTGCTGCAACAATATTGTCGAGTAGGTCTGCAGACAATTGGTTAACTTTTTTTGATGAGTGCATGTCCGTTGTCCTTGTGATAAGCTTCTAACCAGAAACTTTCTTTAGTGAAATACACAACTGAAAAAAATTTCACCGCATTACTTAGTGCAAATAGCAGTAATAAAGTCAAAAATAATAATGATAAGCAAAATAATTACGAAAATAATAAAATGAATACATGTCTGCATTACAGTACTGTATTAGAAAAGTAGAATTTCCTAGTTTGGTTTAGTATATAAAACCAACATATTATAATCTATTTACTTTTCATTATAGGTACCAGACCACAGAGTAAATCCATATGGTAAGTTAATTTTATTCTACATTTTGGTTTCCTGCCACGCAGAAAAGTTTCATATTATTTATGCAGACAAACAATCTACTTTGAACAAAAGGCACGAACTCCTTTCAAAATGCAGTCACCGTGCCAAATTCCTACTCAAAAACACATAATACCTAATTTGCATCTACACCGGCCCAACTCTACATATACACGTCAAATCACTCCTGAAGATTGCCTAGTGCATGAAACAGCCTGTAGAGTGAAATTACAAGTTCCTTATTATTATTATTACTATTA